TTGTTTTACTTGCACGTTCCATTAAATATTTGAAGTGCTGATCCAAACCAAATGCTTTAAATATGTTTAGAGACTTTTACAAAAATATGCACATTTTCATTAGAATACTGTGGAAATAAACACTTTTAAAATTTTAATTATTTAAAACAGAAACTTTGTTCACAATTTACGTTAATGTGAGATGTTTATCTCTCCTAAAACCTTTTTTCTTTTAACTTTTGGAGCCACTATTAGAAATTTAAGCATTTAATGATGATCGTTAGCAACTTCATTTAGTAGTGACCTTTGTTTGAGTGGGGTTGTCACGTAAACGAACATCGTCATAAGCATTGTGAGCACTGTGAACATTGTTTGTCGGTATCATGAACTTTGCTTACGCCATCAAATTTAGGACATGAGACGTATATATCTATAAACAAAAATTAAATATTATTTTGTATAGGTGTACATTTAATTTGAATTTGCAGATAATATTGATCACTCGGGAAAAATATTTACCGTAAATATATAAGTCTCTGGTATGGTTGAATAAAATGCGTGTCGAACATCAGATAATAACGTGTGCATAATTTATACAGAATGCATGCATGGTGTAAGAAATGAAAATGAAACCGACTCTGATGATCAACAATCTTAATAATTTATTAGCCAAAATCCAAAACAAAAACTGAAAGAGATATATGTTTATTCCGAGTTCTTATATATTTTTTAATTGAAAGAAAAGAAGATTATACAATGGTTAGCTTTAACTAACTAAATGCACTAACCAAATTTCTTAGAAGGATTCGCAACGTCCCACTTGACCCTTCCTCCTTCTCAAGGAACACATACAAAAAAAAAGAGAAAATATCTTAAGTAAATTTCAGTACAATTAGGACCAAGCATAATGTAAGTGGAAATCTAGAGGAAATCCACTTTGTGAATAGAGTAAAGGGTTTTGGAATTTCTAGATATTATTATAATTACTGACATCAGCTGCATATTATATTATATTATTCATTACATTTGATATATAATTCGATTTCTCTGTTTTCTAAAAAAAAATATAATTTCTTTCAAATAGGATTAGAGTAACTAAATAAATGTACGCCTCTGGGAGATGAATGATACGTAGAAAATGAAATGTTGAAAACGTTGGTGAACCAAAAATCATTATATAGTTCATCACACAACATCTATCTTTGATGTTCTTCTATTGTAAAATTGTAATCCTTATTAGGCTCTAATTTAAAAAGAAAACAATGTTAGGTTGGCTTTCTCCTTGCTTTAGTTTTAGCCGCATGATAGAAAGTTGAAATTAGTTATTTAGTATAGTATAATATGTGGTACATGAAAGTAATATTAACAAATTAGAGGAGTAAACGTAGAGGATAATGGTGAGATATAAAGTTTAATCTTTAATGGAAAAAGAGAGATTTGGTTGGAGATTTGAAGGCGGCTAAAGCTCTAACATGCACGCGTTTAGAGAGTGGTCGGCTCTCTTTGCGGTTAGTTTTCGCCGCTTATTAACTCAAAATGTTCATATTGAATTACGCTATAAATAGAGTCTAAAAAAACATTTTTTTTAAATGGTCTAGACGGCCACATAGCCGTTGAACAATTATAATCTCCTAAACATTTCAATCATAAACCTCTTTAAAAATAAATAAAAAAAAACAAAAAAATACAATCATACATTTTTTTCTTCTTTATGTTAAGCAGAATTAAACGGTCTTATAGGTTCATTTGATTTTAATTTTTTGTTTCCTTAAGTGTGGATATTTTTGTCAAAACTCATTTATGCTAGTTATTATAAAGCTTTAACTTTAATATCTATGATATTTTATTTTATTTTTCGATGTAGTTTGAACTTTAAATATATTTTAAAATTTTGAATATATTGTATGTTATGTATTTTGTATAGTATTTTATCACATAAACGCTTAAATCAATTAATATTACTTATATTTTCATTAATTTAAACACTAAGCGTCGGATCGCCGTCAAACACATAGTTTTTTTTTAGCATTGCTAAAAATAGTCTGAATTAGAGAAGTTTATAAAAAAATATATATATTAAATTCTAAAAATACTATAAGCTGAAGAGAAATTTTAAATAATTTGAAAAGAATTTGGGTTCCAACAGAAGGATGTATAAGATTTGGTCTAAAAAAATTTAGTTAACAAAAAAATGAATAATTTAGACCATCTCCAACGTATTTCTCTATTTTTTTTCCTATCTCTATAATAGAGGTGAGTTTTCTCTATTTTTACTCCAATGTGTTTCTCTATTTTTTCCTCTAAAAAGTTTAACTCTATTTATAGGGGAAAAAATAGAGATTCTCTATATTATCCTCTATATATAGGGGAAAAAATAGAGATCTCTATTTTAGAGGTGAGAATAAAGGTGAGTTGGAGTAGATTTGCCTCAAAAATAGAGTTTAGAGGCAAATATAGAGGTGGGTTGGAGATGCTCTAAGAAATGTTGGAACTAAGAAATAGAGTTTAGGTGGAGAAATAGTCGCTTCAACTAGTGGCATACTCGTAATTATAAGTAATGGTCATTGTTTGTAATTGGTAATCTTGTACCATTGTGGTATGAAATGTTATCATTTTAACTAATTACAAAATCGATATCAAAAACGATAAAAAATATCTTTTCAGCTTTATTATACTTTTCTATTCGATATTTTTGTATTATCTTCAACTATTTACTGTTGTTAAACGCTTTTTCTTATCAGTTAAAATTTTTAACTTTTTGTGTTACTAGTCGGATTATACAGTTTGGATTAGTTCTGTTGGGTTAAGAGATAAAAGCTGTACGGGAGTACTAATTACTAAATAGCAAAGAATTTAGTTTTGTTTCTTTCTAAAGTAAAAAGTAAAAGATGTGATTTGCGTAGAATGTGCAAATTTTCCTTTCCAAAAGGTGTAGTTGAAACTTGGTGTGAAACAACAGCTGTACGGATTTGAATCTGAAATTGCTTTTTACATCTTTCTCAGGTTTTTGTCTACCTTTCTCTTGTTTTCTTCAAGTTTGGTTTTATTTATTATTAATTGAATTGTGTAAACGGCGAATTTCCCTCTTATGTGAATTCTTAATTTATCTTGTCGGGACGAAGAATCATAATAAAATGCCATAAGATAACTTTGCATACTTACGAGTCACGAATTTACCTATTAGATAAATTTGAATGAGTGTAAGTGTGTAACTTATAATATCTACAAAATAGTGTCGTCTATTACATTAAAATAGATTGGTACTATTAATGTTATAACAGATAAAATGTTACGAAAGCAATCCGTAGGATTATCGCATGGGAACTTCCAAAGAACCATATAACATTTAGTTTCGAGTTTGAACTTATGTTTTTAAGTAGAGACTCTATACCTTTAAATGCATGTGCATGCATGTGCGAACTGATCATAAATTATTATCAAACTTACTTGAGTACATGGGAAAAGAACTGATCATAAACAGAGAAATTTTGAAATTAGTATCATAAAAATCGTATTTGATTTTCAACATAAAAAAAAGAAAATCGTATTTGCCTTCTACAAGAAGAGTGATGATTATTTAGTTTTGCATGAGAATTTTCCACGTGTCTTAAGTGATCCTCAAAGAGTGATGTCTGTTGTTGCATGCATGTGCGAACTGATCATTTTGGTGTTTTTATGATCTTGAGTCGGCAAATCTTGTTTCTGGGAAGTCTTTGTCCCTTTTTCTTATAGTTTTTTTAGTCGGTGAGTCTTGTGTTCTTAAGAATTTATTTTCGTCATCTAAATATTATTTTCATCAGTACTGATGAAAATAGTTAATATTCTCGATGAAATAAACTAACAGAAAGTCAGAAACTAGTGATATTCTTAAAAAATAATAATTCACAAAAAATAATAATCCATTCTAACTTTCTTTTATAAACCCAAAATATTGTTATATGATTTATGTTAACCATTTTATGTAGATTATATTAATTTTTTATTTTATTTATTTTTAGTAAATGACATATTTTAACTCATAGAAAAAAAAGTGAATAAAAAAGTTCACTCTTAGAAAATTAAACTCAAGAATTGTCCAAAAAAAGCAGCTCGCCCAATGTACTCCTGAAAAAAGAAACCCAGCCAAACCGACTAAGTGACAATCTCGAAAAAACGAAACCCAGCCAAACCGACTAAGTGACAATCTTTTTTTCTTCAGAACCAAACCATAAATTCACCTGAGATCCACGCCTAATTATGCAGGAAGATCAGATGAACAATTCATTAAAAGAAAAAAAAAAAGGAAAACAAAAAACTTATTTCTTAGAGGTCATAGATTTTATTTCTGTTTGCTTTCCAAAAAAAAGTTACTACATAGTTTAGACTTCGACCTTGGGAAATGTACGAACCCATAACTTTCTAGGCATAAAAAAAACATACGACATAATCAATTTTCCCGACTTGCTACATTGTCAAATATTTTCTTAACATTTTAGTGTTCAATTATGTCATAAATACACAAACTATTCCCTAATAGTTTTTCAACTATATGAATATTTTTAAGAATTTTTTTTCATAAAAAGATTACACCATCTAAAATTTGATTATAACCCCCAAAGAGTGGGCTTGTCCAATTATACTAGTTGATCAAACTTTTCTTTGAACTCCAATAATGGTACTCGAATTCCTCATTAGATACGGATGCAATATTTTTCTTTTCTTTGTTGAAAACGTGATTTAAGACCGCTTTGTGTCAAATACTATAAAACTCTTGGTCCTTTATAATATGTTCCAATCGTATAGACCGGTAGAGGCCAATAACACAAATAGAAAAAGTAGGCACGAAATTAATTATGATCATTACTATATAGCCACTATGCCGTATCAACTAAACAATCCATTGATTAAAAGATAAATTTTGATTTTTATTACATAATAATCCATTAATTTCCTCACGTGGAACCCACTTGGTGTACTTCCACGTCCTCCTTATATCACTGACCCACTCATCAAATCAACGCATCTTTATAAGCCCCTTCATCGTCACACACTTCTCTCAAATTATTCCATATTCTTCTTATTTCTATTATTTCACCTCAAATCATTAGATTCTTACACAACACAACAACGAACTAGCTCCCAAGTCTAAGCTTTTATTTCACTTCAAAGTTGTCTTTGGCTGTCTCTCTCTATATATAAAATGCTAATGACGGAGAGAGGCCGAGCCATGTGGCGCACGTGCCTAGCCTCAGCGTTCCGAACAGCTCTAGCCTGCACAATCGTTGGCTCAGCTACACTTTACGGTCCCGAATGGATCAACCGCCACGTGGCATTCCCGGCCTTCTCTTACGTCGCAGTTATCCTCATCATCACCGACGCTACACTCGGAGACACGCTACGTGGCTGCTGGTTAGCTCTTTACGCCACGTGTCAAAGCGTGGGACCTGCGATCGTCACGTTAAAGCTTATAGGACCAGCTCGTCTCACGGCCGAAACGACGGCTCTTGCCGCGGCTCTAGCGGCGTTCGTGGTGGTGCTACCTAACAGTTCGACCCACTTGGTGGCTAAGAGAATCGCTTTAGGCCAGATCGTCCTCATTTATGTTAGGAATAAGTTGGGAATTAGTACGTTTGGAGAACTTAATTAGAAAAGTAGTACCCATACTATTTATAATTGTCAAAATCTCCATGTCCCACTGTACACTACTATTTAGGTGACTTCCAAACCCTCAACCAACCATTTTATTTACAACCATGCCATTTTAACTAAAATAAATTATTTTTCTCTTTCTTTTACACATCTCGTCAGATCCCTTCTTCTCTTATCTAAGCCTTCTTTTTCATCTGGAACTTTTATAGATAATCAAAAATATATAATTCTGGGTTCATAAATTAATTGGAAATTATATCTCCAATTCACTTTTGTTTTTAATTTTGATTCTTTTACGAAATTCTCTAATTTCAAACAACCATAGTAAGAGAAAGAAGAAGATCTATGGGTTTGAATTCTAAGTACGGGAGCCAATAATTAGATGATGAATTCGTGGAATTAAAATCGAATCATGAAAAGATCTCACATTTCTTCTCCTCGTTCTTATTCTCGACCAGCGATTTCAATCTTCGGTGTTTTCCTCTTGTTCCTTATGGGTTTATCACTAACTTCTCGAAAACCATCAGATTCATCCTCCGGTTTAGCTCCAAATCGGAACTTATCCAGAATATCGAAGATTTCGAAGCTCGCGTATTTGGTAACGGGGACGAAAGGAGATGGTAACGGGAACAACAGAGCATATCGACGGCGAGAGCAAGCCTTGCCTCTCCTCGTTTTTTGTTTTCTTTTTAACACAATCTTTTGTTATTGTTATTGTTACTTTATTAATGAATCTTTTTTTTGTTAATTTACAGATTTATTCAACGAGCTTGATCGATAAATTCTCAAACTTTGTTTTCTTCAAGATCTATGGCGGAAGAACATCGATGTCAGACACCGGAAAGCAACCGTCTCTGTGTTAACAATTGTGGCTTCCTCGGCAGCTCCGCCACCATGAATCTCTGTTCTAATTGCTTCGGCGATCTCTGTCTCAAACAACAACAACAATCCTCCATCAAATCCACCGTCGAATCTTCCCTCTCCGTATCTCCTCCTCCATCATCATCGGAGCGCTTCCATATCTTCTCTGATCATCCTTCCTCTCCTTAAAACTCCCTCCGTCAAGCTAGAGGTACCGGAGAAAAAGCCGGTGAATTCGCCGCCAGAGAAGAATCAGCAACAGAGGCCGAATCGGTGCACGACGTGTAGGAAATGGGTCGGGTTAACCGGATTCAAGTGCCTGTGCGGTACGATGTATTGTTGGGTCCATAGGTACCCGGAGATCCATGGATGCAGCTACGATTTCAAATCGGCCGGTCGTGAAGAGATCTTGAAAGCAAATCCGTTGGTGAAAGCAGCGAAGCTTCATAAGATTTGATCAGAGCCGTTCGATGCGTTGACTTTTCTCGTAAGTCTTCAATTTCTACGCGTATGTGTGTCCTCCGTCCCCCGAGAAATACGGATGGTGTCGATTTGATCTCAACCGTTGGATCAAATGGGTTATTATTGTAAAAGATTGATTATGTATTTATCAAAGGGACATGTGTCACGTGGTTTTAGGATGGAGATGCTTTCGCTTTCTTCTTCATTTTCCTTTAATTTGATATATCAAACATCGTCAAATCCTTCTGTATAGATGTACATCGTCAAAGTCTATAACTTTATCAGATGGGTTTCTTGGAAATGTTGTTGTCAAGCTAATCTGGGATGGTTTTGATTGTATTGTCATGTTTTACTTTATAAAGCTATAGACTTTGTCTTTGTTTCCTATTGCTTATTCTGTTTTAAAGCCTGCTGTACAGATGTATCCTGCTGTACAGATGTATCCTGCTGTACAAATGTATCATTCTGTACAGATTTATACTCCTGCACAGATATATCCTACTGTACAGATGTATCATACTGTACAGTGGTTTATATCTGTACAGTCATTATTCTGTACAGTGAATTTATCAGATGGGTTTCTTGGAAATGTTGTTGTAAAGCTAATCTGGGATGGTTTTGATTGTATCGTCATGTTTTACTTTATAAAGCTATAGACTTTGTCTTTGTTTACTATTGCTTATTCTGTTTTAAAGCCTGCTGTACAGATGTATCCTGCTGTACAGATGTATCCTTCTGTACAGATTTATACTTCTGTACAGTTGTATCCTGCTGTACAGATGTATCATTATGTACAGTGGGTTATATCTGTACAGTCATTTTTCTGTACAGTGGTTTATATCTGTACAGTTATATCTGTACAGTTATTCTTCTGTACAGTCACTCTTCTGTACAGTCATTTTTCTGTACAGTTGTCTATATCTGTACAGTCGTCTATATCTGTACAGTCATTCTTTGTATACAGTAGTCTATAATATAAATTTTTAAAAAAAAATTAAACAAAATGCATATCAAATGATAGAGAAAAAAACATAGATTTTTATGTATTTGATAAATTTTAGAAACAAAAAATTTACTAACGAGTATTTTAATTATGAGACTTTGGGGGAATATGAGATAATAGAGAAAAGAAAAGAAATTTAAAAAAAAAAAACATGTCCCACGTTCTCTTTCTCACAAATACAAAGCCCCTACTAGTAATTTCCATTATCTACACTCTACCCCACTTTCTCTCCTATCTCACACAAATTCTATTACACAAATAGGAATAATGTACTGTTTCTACAATTATAAATAGTAACTGTACTACTTTCCCTATTATGTTTCTAAAACGTACTATATTCCCAAGAAACCCTTTATGTTATTGGTTATATAAAAGGAGCCGAGACTGATCCGGTCATGCACCCTCTTCAAGTCGCGGCTAGCACCGCGCTTGGTGTCGTAGCTTGCGTTCTTGCACTACTCGTCCCACTTCCTCGCTTGGCTACTTGTGAGGTACCATCTCTCTCACTCTCTAGATATACATAAAATATCCCAACTTATTTTATTTACGTATATATGCACACATGTAACTCTACGTACTTATAGTAGTAGAAGTATGGTCTTTATTGTTTCAAACACTATAACTTATGTGTTTCTATTTGCATGTGAAAACAAAAGTAGCTATATTTATCTTTTTCACGATTTAGAAAAAATGTTACATAGTTTTAGAGGGTTATTTCCATAATAGAGGAATTATTTCCATAATAGAGGAATTATTAGTTTGGTTAACATTTAAAAGATTTTTTGGACCTATACGTGTTCGAATTAGATTTGATGAACAAACGAAGCAACGAGAAAATTAGTAGATGTTGACTTGGTAATACAGTCACAAAACATGTTGACGTGGGTATTAAAGTGTGTTGCTAACTTTATTCCGTACCACATTATTACATATAAAATCCTTCTTATGTCAGCAACCACCGCTGAATTTTTTTGTCTTAATTCTTCCCAATATTGCGAACAAGCTGTGTCGCATCACAGACAAATATGATTCCTTTTTTGATTAATTAATATAATCCCTAAGATTATATACTTCTTCTAGTATAGTAATAAATAAACCTATTAGCAATGGCATGGGATTCTCTGATAATATTAAGAAAAATAAAATAGAAAACTAATAATTTATTTTAAATATATAGGTGAAACAAAGCTGCAAAGAGCTTGGTCAAAATGTAACAACGAGAGTGAAGTTGTATATGAAGGCTTTTTGCTCCGATGATGCCATGTCAGCAACGGCTTCAGTCTCACAGGCTCGAGTGTTGGCTCGCTCTTCCTCCAAGCTTTATCAAACACTCAAACGTTACCAAGTAATTTACTTGATTCTCATCATTAAAAACAATATGTTTTTACAAAAGAAGAGTATAAATGTATGTACAATATTTCTAATAGTGGAATGTTTTGTGTATATAGCCAAGCATGACATGGGAGAGGCTTCCGTTTAAGATATGGAGGTGGCAAAACGTGAATGATAACAAAGGAGAGAAACTACAAAGCATGGAAATTGCTCTTAGAGGAATGGAAATGGTAGTAGCAAGCAAATCTCCTATTCCTTCGAGCTTACTTGCTGGTGAAGTAAAAGAAGATCTCAAGAATATACAAGAACGTGTAATTCTCTCAATCAAACGAGTGAACAATAGTCCGCAACCGTCGGTAACACCAGAATCCGATCCGAAAAAACCCGATGAGTGCCTCCAAACACTTCAGGAAATCCCGGAAACGCCTCAAGATTTACCGTTTTACTTCTTCTTGTTCTGCATCAGGCTCCTTGAAACCATCACAATGGCTAAACCGGAGGAGAACAAGGTCAAGGTCTTAGAAAAATCCAAAACTAGATCTTGGATAAGTGATTGGGACAGCAAGAAGGTTATGCCCGCGTTGAAGCTATCGCTTTCATTAGGCTTAGCGATTTTGCTAGGTTCGATGTTTAGTAAGCCAAACGGGTATTGGGCTGGTTTACCCGTAGCCATCAGCTTCGCAGCGGCGAGAGAGGCGACGTTTAAAGTGGCGAATGTGAAGGCACAAGGGACAGTGATAGGGACAGTGTATGGAGTGATGGGATGTTTTGTGTTTCAGAAGTTTTTGACGGTTAGGTTTCTTTCTTTGCTTCCATGGTTTCTCTTCTCTAGCTTCTTGAGCAAGAGCCGGATGTACGGACAGGCCGGAGGGATATCAGCGGCGATAGGAGCCGTTTTGATTCTCGGAAGAAAGAATTTCGGACCACCAAGCGAGTTCGCGATCGAGAGAATCATCGAGACTTTTATTGGGTTGTCTTGTGCGATCATGGTGGAGCTTGTCTTTCAGCCCACGAGAGCCGCTAACATAGCGAAACTTGAGCTCTCTAGAAGCTTCCACGCTTTGTACGAGTGTGCAAGCTTGTTTGGAGCTAAAGCAAGTAAAGCGGAGATAATGGAGAGTCAAAAGAAGTTGAGAAGTCATTTAAATGAACTCAAGAAGTTCACAGCAGAAGCCCATGCAGAGCCAAGTTTCTGGTTTTCGCCATTCAACTTTTCTTGCTACGAAAAGCTGTTCAAGTCATTGTCTAAAATGGCTGATCTATTGCAATTCAGCGGTTACGCGATAGGCTTTCTTGGAGAACAAGGAAAAACGAAATCACCACAGTGCAAGGAGATTCTAAGCAACGTAGACAAAGATCTCAAGAGTCTAACAGAAAGCATAGGTCTTTTAGCCAAATCATTCGAGGAAATCACTTTGCTCAAATCACTAGACGCCCTCGAAAAGGCGCTTGCCAAGAGCGACAACACCTCATGGGACATTGAGCTTGGAAAGACACCAAACCCTAGCTTCTCAACCGCGGTGAGCGAGCCGGAGAAGATATTAGAAACGTATCTCCAGCATTGCAGAAGCGTAGCGGATGGAATATTCCGTGTGGAAGAAGGTGGAGAAGAAGAGGTTAAAGTGGACAAAAGTGAGGTTGTGTTGAGTTTGAGTGCATTAGGGTTTTGTGTGGAGAGAATTGGGAAAGAGACAAGAGAGATTGAGGAGATGGTTAAAGAGGTTGTGCAATCGGAGAACCCTTCAAGCCATGTTAACTTGCATGAGATCTCTTGCAAAATACGTTCTTTGTATAAATGATAATATTTTACCATTGATAAACAACAAATGGCGTGTGAAAGAAGGAAACGTTTCCTTTTTTTGGTTTATCTTCTCTTTTTTTTTTTTTTTGTGTGTTCCTGTAATAACAAATAAGGCATTGTGGTTAACCGGTTATACCAATACCAACAATGCCAATTTGTGTGTGAAGACTAAAGACTAAAAAAGTGCATACAAAAGAAGTGAAGAACAAATGTTGGGCTTATTTGAGTATTCGTGGGCCCTTTAACAGGCCTTATTCAAATGTTAAAAAATAAAATAGTACAATATTTTTTAGGGAGATTTACTCAGATGTTATACATTTTATATGAAATTACCAGAAACATACAGATCTTTTTTTTATTACTATCATATTTCGGGTATATTTTTTATACCCAGCGTGCCCCTGTTAAACGTTTCAGGAAAAAACGTAATTACAAAGAATGCCACTGCCACGTCAGCAAAGCCGCGTCGCCACGTCAGAAATCGCTGACGTGTATTAATGAACTCAGCCGTCGAGCGATATAGCGGCAGTGACGGCTGAGTTACGGTATGTTGCGGCTGATTTAAGAAAAATGGCTGAGTTATGAGCAAACGGCTAACTTACGAGTATAACCCAGCCTGGAGTTACGGCTGACTTACTGAAATCTGTCTGAGTTATGATAAAATGGCTGACTTTCGAGCATAACCCAGCCTAAGTTACGGCTGAGTTTTCACCCGATGGTTGATTTGTCAAATTTTTGGCTGAGTTATTGCTTCGACACGGCTGACTTAACTTTCTCCGGCTGGCTGAGTTATCAAAGACGGCTTAGTTATGGGATGACGTTACGGCTGATTTATGTTCGAGTATCATAAATCAGCCGTAATGAGCTGGATTAACGGAAAACTCGGCCTTATTATGGCTGACTTAGTAGCGAAAGATTAATTACTAGAATAGCATGCAATGACGGCCGACTTATTAAACGACACGACTGAGTTAAATATTTTTGGTTGAGTTACGACAGTAAACGGCTGAATTTGGCTGCCGTTTTTTCGTTTTTTAATTACTGTAATAGTATTCATGTTGCGGCTGAGTTAAAGTTTTGTTTGATGGCTGGTTTAATTAAGCTGATTTACATTTTCGTTTGGTGGCTTACTTGCCACTTCATCAATTAAAAAATGACGTGGAAGCAACATTCCATGTCATCATTCCATGTCATCATCATCAAAGGACAAAAAAATAGGGCCAAATTTTTTCAACTCGTCTTCTTCACCTGAGTTTATCACATCACCGGAACTTCCAATTCCTCATCGTCTTCCTCATTCTTCTTCAATTTCTTTCATCCTTCTCCCGATATGGTTGATCCGGTTCCGGTAATTGGGTATAAAAACACAAATACGTATTTAACACCGATGAAAGAGGGTGTAGAGTTGTGCAGATAGATGCGAAAACAACGCACGAAAAACTTGTGAAGTTGGTGCTCGATGATAAAGTTAGAGGAAATGTTGCGTCTCTTATTGTTTCGCTGCAAATTTACATGTCACGGCTGAGTTATATGCTTAAGGGAAGACGAAAGGTTCTGTCAATTTACATGTCACGGCTGAGTTATATGTTCCAGGGAAGACGAAAGGTTCGGTAAAATTACATTACGGCTGAGTTATATGCTTAAGGAAAGACGAAAAGTTCGGTCAATTTACATGTCACAGCTGAGTTATATGTTCCAGGGAAGACGAAAGGTTCGGTAAAATTACATTACGGCGGAGTTATATGTTTAAGGGAAGACGAAAGGTTCGGTAAATTTACATGTCACGGCTGAGTTATATTCTCCAGGGAAGACGATAGATGGGTGTAAATTATATGTTACGGGTGAGTTATATGCTTCAGGGAAGACTAAAGGTTCGGTAAATTACATGTCACGGCTGAGTTATCATTCAGGGAAGACGAAAGGTTGTGTAAATTATATGTTACGGCTGAGTTACATCACGTTACGGCTGAGTTACATCACTTTACGGCTGATTTATAATACAGATCGGAAAGCAACATTTTTTTGGAGAAGACAATATGAAATTTATTGGTCAAATAACAACAATCAAATTAAGATTCGTAAAAATATGTTTGAGGGATACATAGGAGGAAGACTAAACCGTATGAATCAAAACATAGATAGAAGTAGAAATGTCTCCAAATAGATCGATTGAGAGGAAGATTAAACGAGAGACATGTAAAATCAAAGTAAAAGAGTAGCTATTCTTTATTTCAACTCAAACCTGTAACGAATCATGTAGAATTCCATAGATCTCTTTGTTTTGGGTTTTGATTTTTGATGACTTTTTTCGTGAGCGTGGTTGCGAGTAGATCTGACGAAGCTTTTGATTTGGGACCCTATGGCAAGCGTTGTGGCTGTGAGGTCTAGGAAGATCCAGCCCAATCCTGCAATTTGAAGATCTCTGTCAATGTTGTACCCAAGTTAGTTGCAGATTATTAGATCTAAAAGCTTTTCTTGGATTTGGAGAAAAAAAAAAGAGAAGAGGAGAAATGATCTAAAAGCTTTTCTTGGATTTGGAGACAAAAAAGAGAAGAGGAGAAATAACGTGAGTTTGAGGAGTGTGAGATTGGTGATGTGGATTAATGACATGGATAATCAAATTTTTATTTATTATTTTTAATTAAAAACGAATTAAAAATTATTAATTAAAAAAAACTAATGAAGGGTGTTAATTGTAATTACACAAATGCTCAAAACATATGAGTAATTTTTAGAAAATGTATGATATTCTAGTAATATTCGAACTTTTGGTTAACATCTGAGTAAATATTTCTATTTTTTATCAAGTATAAAAGAGAGTCTGCTAAGATTCGATCCCTCGTCCCCACGGCCACAACGTGAGATTCGGACAACTGAACTACAACGACTTTTTGGTTATGTTTAAACAACTTCCAAATTGTTGGTCAACAATAACTTTAAAACTTTTTTTTTTTTTTTTTTTTCGTCTGAATAATTCATGAAATATAACCAAGGGAGAAATACAAAGTTGAGATACATGGTGAAATACTAACGCCGGCGGGACTCTAACCCCCGGAAAACTAAGCCGGCGGGTACATGGAAACCCCCAGAGACAAAGGCCAAAAAAGGCAGACATAAAAGAAGGAAAACCTTAAAGTACAGGGAAATTCTAATATCTAAAACTCAAGCAACACAACTGCAAACTCTTCACGAAAAGAATCCGACAAACATTTCCATAGAACATTTTGGGCGCTGGAAAGTGGTTACAAACAGGAGCAACGAGAGGACCCATCATTAGATTGCCTTTACATGAAAGGCCCGAGAAGGATACAAAACCAAGCTCACACAACCACTCCCCGAGCAGAAACGAGCACAGATAAAAGAGGATCAGAGCACAGATCCTAACCATCACTACCACACCAGAAACCAGAGAAGACAAGCAGGAGAAGGGACAAGGAGAAGCCTTGAGATCCGAAGGGGAAAACGCCAAAGAGGGCCAACAAACCTTACACGCGGACATTCGTAGACCCAGCCAAAACCATCTACAGCCTAAGAACTGGTTACGCCACGCAAGAGAAGGAATAGAGACCGAGCCTACCACATCGTCTTGAACTCAAACCTTAATTCCAAACAAGGAAAAGGAAGAGAGCTAGTAGATGCCTTTGCAGGAGACTACCATCCAAATGAAGAACCCACAAAACGAAACCTTCACAAACTCATAACCCCAATAACCGGGCAGAAAGTAACAGGAGGCAGAACTAGGAGTCAATATTGCCATCCCTAAACTTGAAACTAAGGCTTCTACCCTCAACCAACCAAACTACTAACCAATCCTTGTCGAGATACACTAACCAAAGAAGAGAGAGATGAGAGAAATAAAATACCAGACCAAGAAACGAAACGAGTCCTTCTCCTTGAAACCACCAGCCACAGGACCACCACCAGAGCTGAGCCACGTGTCCATATCCATGAAACCACCAGCCACAGGACCACCACCAGAACTGAGCCATTACCTTGAAAAATCCGCATACCACACGAATCCGTCACTAACCACGAACAGGCGTCACCGTCGATGGCTTCTCCTCCTTCAAACACTCATCTCTTCAAAGAGGAATATGACGACAAGGCCACAACAACACCAAAATCAACATATCTAAGCTAAGAAATCCAAAGAAGACGAGGGAGATGAAGCAAAGAACACGAGAAAGGAGGCCACGAAAACTCTAATCCTCTATTTTTCTTTAATTAATTTGTTAATGGATCTAATGTATATCTTATTTTATCCCAAACTATTTTCGAAAGGTCATGTTTTTTTTTTGTCATCTCAGTTAAATTTTAAAAGTTTCTTTCGATAAGTGGAAAAAATCTAAAACAATTAAATGAGAATTTGATAATGGTAGAGAATGAGATTTTGAAACCCATTAATCGAGAACTCAGGGGACGGAATTTGGGTTTGGTCCATAAAAACTAAAAATCCAAAACTCTCTTTTGCAACAAAACTCATCGACCTTAAATTTTATGTAGTATAAAATAGTTTTTTTTTTTTCATTCCAAGTATTGTATGTTCAAGTAACAAATACTTAGGTTTAGCAAGTAACAAGCCGGGTCAAGTAACTTGCAAGTAATCAAATTTTGGACGGATACTTGGTCTAGCAAGTACTTGTTTTAGGCAAACCAAGTAACAAGCCAAAAATCCAATTACTTGTATAAGGCAAATCGGATCACAAATACCTTAAATTTAGCAAATACTAGCCTTGTGCCTAGCCTTATTAGAGGGCACACCTTTAAAAAAAAAAGATTTTTTGTTTAAATTACAAAAAACTACACATATCATGAGTATTTTACTCTTTGGTTAATGTTTGTTAGCATATACTTAAGCTATGTTTTTTGGTAAAAAACTTAAGCTTATGTTAGCATAGTATACATATATATAAAGAAAACATTGTGTATACTTTAACAATTAAGTTTTTTAACACGATAATCTTTGTTAGGTTTGGATATGCGAACCTCTAGAGTGGTGGTGGCGTAATAGTAAAAGGTTCAGGGATGTGTCATAAATTCGTTTTTTCATGGGTTTGATTTATTCCCACTGAAAACTATACTTTTAGTTGACCAATAAAAAGTAGTGCCATGTTTTATATCTATTAACAATATGTTGAGTTGATTACTCAACGTTTACACGTTACACTCATTTAAAAAAATAGTCAGATAGGTAGAAAACAAGATCCATGCCGATTGCTTCGCTAAGAAGGGAAGAGCACGAGATTCTATTTTTTCTCATGTATGTTATTCAACATCGGACTGATTTTCTTCCGAAGAAAACCGTCCGTTTCTAAATTAAATGGATGATTTTATTTTGCCGTAAAAAAAAAAAGTAGATAACAAAATCTCGAATCATTTATTTTTTTCGTGGAGCAAATAAACACTAAAATCAAAGAAAAATCTTACTCTCCAAAAATTGCGAATAAAATTCTGGAAATGGCGCAGTACGTAAATTCGTTTAGCACAATAACAAGTCAAGTCAATATGTAATACTCTAAGCTTCTTTTTTTTTCTTCTTATTAATACTCTAAGCTGATCCAGCAAGTTTAATTTAATCGAGTCGCAAATCTCGAAATTTAAGATCTAAAGAATCCTTAAAACCAATAATTTATCATTCCATCTCCCTTCCTCAGTCTAAATTCTTAAATGTCGAGAATAGTGTAAAGTCAAACTCTCTGAGTCTTTGTTTTCTATTATTTTCTTTCTTTATTTTTGCCATCTCTCTTTCTTGATATAAAACTTTCTCATTTTTTATTGAAACTTTATTCATAAGCGACGTTTGGTGACCAACTTAAAATTGGGTTTGGTGCATTTCGTAGTCTCACTTTTCGTTCATTTGAAGCTTCAATTTTTCTGGTAAGGTATTTTTTTTTTCCACGAGCCTTATTTTATTTTTTGCTTAGTTAACAAATTTTGTGGGACTCATCTTCATGTTTCATATGATTTGTATTTAAATTTACATGCGTATAAATATTCATTCCATTGAATCTTCTAATGTCATCAAGATCAGAGAGTGATTGAGTACAGTTTTCGTTTTTCATCAAGCTTTTTACTAATCATCAGGTTGATTAATTCTCTAATCAGTGTGATTGGTGCATGTGTATTTTTTTTTTTTTTTTTGGTTTTCTAAATCTCATGATGAATCTGTGATTAGAGTTTGTTAAATTTGATTCAAATTTGCAGAAATGGCGACAAATTCTTCTAACGGGACGACGACGACAAAGCCACCACCGATGCCGTCTCCTTTGCGTAATTCCAAGTTTTTTCAGGTTAATTATTTTTTCAGTCAAAATATTTTCTTAAACTTCTTGTTCAATTGAGTTCTTAATGCAATGAAAGTTTTTAGTTTTGTCTCTAGTTTAAAGTGTAGTTATTCTTAAGTCAAAGTCATAAGTGGAAAAAGTTGAAACTCTATGTATAGATCTCAATCTCACCTATAAGACTTTGGAAGTTGAAAACTTGATATTGATTTTTTTTTTTCCGTCAACAAAATGCATTAAGAACGATACTAGCACAAACCACTATGATCAATGTAGTGGTCGAAATTGATTTGCTGAATGATTTTGAAAATACAGTCGAATATGAGGATCTTGGTGACCGGAGGAGCTGGATTCATTGGTTCACATCTCGTTGATAAATTGATGCAAAATGAAAAGAATGAAGTAATCGTTGCGGATAATTACTTCACAGGATCAAAAGACAATCTCAAGAAATGGATTGGTCATCCAAGATTTGAGCTCATTCGTCATGGTAAATCTTCTTAATTAATACTCATTAACCAAAACAATGCATTAGTACTCATTCTTGTGATTTTTCAGATGTGACTGAACCTTTGTTAGTTGAGGTTGATCAAATCTACCATTTAGCATGTCCTGCATCTCCAATTTTCTACAAATACAACCCCGTTAAGGTTTGTTAAATTTCGTTAATCAAAACTCGCAAAAATGCTGATATATTGTTTATGACTTATGATCATATCTTCATCTTTTTAATGGCAGACGATAAAAACAAATGTGATTGGCACACTTAACATGTTAGGACTAGCTAAGCGAGTTGGCGCAAGAATTTTACTTACTTCGACATCTGAAGTGTACGGTGATCCTTTGGTTCACCCTCAACCCGAGAGCTATTGGGGAAATGTAAACCCCATCGGTAAGTCATTATATATATATGACAATTATTTGTAATAACTCAGTTTATAAATTTTTAACTAACACAAATAATTTGCTGTTGCACATTATAAGGTGTTAGAAGTTGTTACGATGAAGGAAAACGTGTTGCCGAGACTCTTATGTTTGATTACCATAGGCAACATGGGATTGGTAAAATTAATCACTCTTTTACCGTTTTCTTGAAAACTTTGATTTAAGCTTACTGGCTGATTACTTATTACTATTATCGGGCCATTGTAGAGATACGCATAGCGAGGATATTCAACACATATGGTCCTCGTATGAACATTGATGATGGTCGTGTCGTGAGCAACTTCATCGCTCAGGCTCTCAGGTGAAACTAACCTCAATCAAATTCTTCAATATGTTTTTCTTTGTAATAACCGGGTAATTTTTTAGTCGAATCCTAGACTAATCCTAAAGCTTTTGTATGATAACATCGTTTTGGGCTTGCAGGGGAGAAGCTCTGACTGTTCAGAAACCGGGAACACAAACCCGCAGTTTCTGTTATGTTTCAGACATGGTATGTGTGTCCATTATATATAGCAACTCATCATCTTTATCATTATTCAAAATATTTGATTGATAACATTGCATAATCGCATAATCATAGAAGATAAAAATAATAATGTGAAAATAAAATGGCAGAATAGAATAAAAGAGATATAAATTTAAAAACCTCTGAAATGATGGTTCACAATTTCACTAGCATTGATCTTACGGAATCGCGGAAAACAGAAGAATGAAAAACGCGATTCCACTAAAAATTATGATTGGTATCAACATGCGGATCCAATTGCAGAAATGATTTAACTTTGGTTTTGTAGGTGGAAGGTCTAATGCGTTTGATGGAAGGAGACCAAACCGGACCGATCAACATAGGCAATCCAGGCGAATTCACAATGGTTGAGCTCGCTGAAACGGTTAAAGAGGTTAGCATTCATTTTGTTATTTCATTTCACATAAATGTGATTATAGTTGTGTAACAAGTGAGTAATCTATATTAATGAGAATATGTGCAGCTTATTAAACCGGACGTGGAGATAAAGATGGTGGAGAACACACCAGATGATCCAAAACAGAGAAAACCAGACATAAGCAAAGCTAAAGAAGTTCTTGGTTGGGAACCAAAGGTGAAGCTACGTGAAGGACTTCCTCTTATGGAAGAAGATTTTCGTCTAAGGCTTGGTCTTGGTGTTTCGAGGAAGTGAAACTTCTTTTCAAAAAAAAGAAAGAAAAATAATTGCTATTTTAATTTCTTGGAATTGTGTGTTCTTATCGTTTTGTTTATTTGTTTGAAACCGGTGTTCCCCGGAACATGTGGAGCTTTAATCTTTCTCTTTGGATTCTGAGTTTGTAGGGAATAAGCATCCTAAAGAGGAACATTTTAGGGAGTGATGTTACTACTTGAATTTTATTACTATGAGAATGTAATCAATGGGATGTTTTAAGCTTAGTCGACAAAATGAGTCATTTCATTGTCACTGGTCTTGTGAAATTTGGAAAAGTCCAAACTGTTTTAATTCCTTGTACTGTACCCAAATGATTGAAATCAATTGAAAAAATCACACGAATAAAAACTAATAGTGTGTCAATCCGGATTTTTGAGTTTTTCGGTTTATAGAGTTTCTGATTTTTGAAGCTAGTTTATGTCAATTTGTACAACTTCATTGTCACTCATACCCTGGTTTAAAGATTGAACCAAGAACACGCATTGTTAAGAGAACACTCCAGCAAAACTAGAGTCTCTATTCTTCTTATGCTCAAGGTTGAACCTCTCTTTCTCCTAATATACGATTGGTCTTAACTCTTAACACGTGATAGGTAGAAAATACTAATTTTTATATGTAGACTATATACTAGTTGATCGAAGATACATTCAACAAATCCGCTGTAGCACACAGGTTAATTTCAAATGATGAAATCCGGGTTCAAACTTCGGCAGCGGAATACCTTTTTTTGTTCTTTCTTTCTATTCAGCTAAAGGACAGATCCAATACATCTAAACAATTCAACATCTGACCAAATAAATCTATAATATACCTCTATTTTTTTTTAATATTAATATTGATTATGCTTGTCTAAGTTGACTTTGTAAGAAAAAAACCATTGGAGAAGAGCAGAGTTTTGATCTTTAATGAGCTCTGTGATGAATGAGCTTGGCAGCAAGTTTCTTCAAGATTTGTCTTCAAGATTGTCTTCAGGATTTGTGCTTACCATTTTGCAGTTGAAAGAAATCTTCAAACAATTTATTCTTCAAGATGTGTGCTTCATTGTTTTGATTCCGATTTGGATAGGTTTTCAACTTATTACGATATTTCAAGATCGACGCGGTCTCATGTACATCGCAGCAAGAATAACACCTTGCAATTCACTATCAGTGGAGTCTTTGAATTATAGAAAACAAAAAGACTTAAAGAGAAGATATACAAGAGCTTTTGAGCTCAACGACCTTATAACAATTCTGTTTTTCAGTTATAATCAGGATCGTAACCGCCTCACAATGACATCGATTCATTCTCTAGCCAAAGCACCCATCCTTACCTGTTAAATGCTCCAAACCAGAACACTTCAACAAAATTAGAGCCTAACCTCTTTTTAAGGTTAGTACACACTAAATTTTGCTATAGTTTATCTACTGATTGAATGGAGATATGTTCAATAGATCCGCTGTAGCACATCGGTTAATTTCAATGAATGAAATCCGGGTTCAAACCCCGGCAGCGGAATACTTTTTTTCCTTTTCTTTTAGTCAAGTAAAGGACATATTCAAAATATTTGAACATTCTACATCATTCTTTATTATAAAATTGATTATACTTGTCTAAGTTGACTTTCTAAGAAGAAACTATTGGATATATGGCGGCAGAGTTTTTATCTTTAATGACCTTATTATTGAATGAGATTCAAGAAGAAATCTATGCTTCCAAGTTGCTTCAAGATTTGTACTTTTAGCCACGGTTTGATGCTAATATCAAGATTGTCTTTATCTCTCCAAAATACGGTCTTTGCTTTTATCTCAAGTTTTTAAACTTGTTGAGAATTCTATGTCGAATTAGATCAAAGAAGCTCACGATCACTCGATAGTATTCGTTTGACGATTGGATCAAGAACCTAAATTCTACGCGTTTTTCAAGATCGATGCAATTTCATGTATATCTTGCCAAGAACATCATCTTACAATTCACTTTCGGTGGAGTCTTTGTGATACGGATTAGAGAAGACCTTAGAAATAGGAAACAAAGAATTTAAAAGATACACAAATTATTCATACCATTTTGCGGGTTACCAATCAAATTCCAAAATGTATATTATAAAATGATACATAGTCCAACTTTGGTTCTGTAGATGGAAGGTCTAATGCATCTGGCAAGAGACCAACCTGGACCGATATACACATAGGCTATCCAGGTGAATTCACGATGGTTGCGCTCGCTGAGACGGTTAAAGAGGTTAGCATTATCCCTTTTTAGTTTCATTTCGCATAAACGTGATTATAGTTGTGTAACAAATAAGTAATGTATATTTATGAAAATTGGTGCAGCTTATTAAACCGGACGTGGAGATAAAGATGGTAAAGAACACACGGGATGATCCAAAACAGAGAAAACCAGACATAAGCAAAGCTAAAGAAGTTCTTGGATGGGAACCAAAGGCGAAGCTACTACAGTAGAGCGTATTTTTGTATCTTTCTTTTTGCATTTTGAGTTTGTAGGGAATAAGCGTCCCATTGAGGAACTTTTAAGAGGTGATTTTACTATTTGAATTTTCTTATGAGAATGTGATCAATGAGATGCTTTAATGAGCTTAGTTGACAAAATGAATCATTTCACTGCCAAATTGAGTCGTTTCACTATCACAAAATTGTAAACCAAATGATGAAAGTCAGAGTCCTTGTAATTATTTGAAACTAGATCGACCAACCGGATAGTAGTTAACTAGTGGTGTTCAATCTGAGTTTTTGATTCGAGTTTTTCGGTTTATACGGTTTCTGATACATGAATCTAGTATATGCCAATTTGTACAATCAAAGAACCACACCATTATTCACACCACTGGTTTAAAGATTGAATTTAAGGACACTAAGAGAACACTCCAACAAAACTAGAGGCTCTCCACTCTTTCTCTTAATATGTGATCGGTTTTAACACGTGATAGGATCGTAACCGCCTCACAACGACATCGCTTCATTCTCTAGCCAAAGCACCCATCCTTACCTGTTAAATGCTCCAAACCAGAACACTCCAACAAAATTAGAGTAGTCTATCCTCTTTTTAAGGTTAGTACACACTAAATGTTTCTATAGTTTATGTACTGATTGAATGGAGATATGTTCAATAGATCCGCTGTAGCACATCGGTTAATTTCAATGAATGAAATCCGGGATCAAACCCCGGCAGCGGAATACTTTTTTCCTTTTCTTTTAGTCAGGGTAGAGGACATATTCAAAATAGTTGAACATTCTACATCAGTCTTTATTATTAAATTGATTATGCTTGTCTAAGTTGACTTTCCAAGAAGAAACTATTGGAGAAGAGCAGAGTCTTGATCTTTGATGAGCTTTGTGTTGAATGAGATTCATGAAGGAATTTCTTGGCTGCAAGTTTCTTTCTTCAAGATTTGTGCTTCTAGTTATGGTATAAAGCTAATCTCAAGATTGTGCTTATCATTTTGCAGTTGAAAGAAATCTTATAACAGAAATTCTGAGTTCATTCTTCAAGATTTAGATAGGTTTTCAACTTGTTGAGAATTCTATGACAAACACTTACGGTATTCGTTTGGATATTAAATCAAGTACACACGTTTTACGAGTTTTTCAAGATCGATGTGATCTGAGGTACATCTCAGCAAGAACAACACCTTAACTATTAGTGGAGTCTTTTGAGTTATAGAAACAAAGTGAAAGCAATAACGACTTAAAGAAAAGATATCCTTAGAGCAATTCTGTTTTGAAAGAGTCTCTCCTCTTGTTAGAACACACTTATTTTTTCTATAGTTTATAATTTTATATACTGATCGAATGGAAGTATGTTCAAAAGATCCGCTGTAGCACATCGGTTAATTTCAATGAATGAAATCCGGGTTCAAACCCCGGCAGCGGAAAACCATTTTTTTTCTTTTAGAGTTAAAAGGACAAATCCAAATTTTCTGGACAATCAACATCATTTTTTAATCATAAAATTGATTATGCTTGTCTAAGTTGACTTTGTCATAAACAAAACCATTGGAGAAGGGCATAGTTTTTATCTTTAATGAGCTTAGTATTGAATGAGATTCAAGAAGAAATCTACTGGTTCCAAGTTGCTTCAAGATTTGTGCTTCAAGTCATGGTATAAAGCTAATATCAAGATTGTGGTAATCTCTCCCAAATACGTTCTTTGTTTTGATCTCAATTTGGCTAGGAGAGTTTTTCAATTTGTTGATAATTCTATGTCGACGCGATCTCAATGAACACACTATTGTTACGACTTACGAGTTTATCAAGATCGACGCGATCTCAATGTACATCTCCGCAAGATCAATATCTCACAATTCACCATCAGTGGTGTCTTTGTGTTACAGATTAGAGAAAGAGCTTAGAAATAGAAAACAAATAATTAAGAAGAGCTATAAAAAAAGCTCAACGACCTTATAACGACTCTCTGTTTTCGGCACTTCAAAACGACATCGCTTTCATTCTAGATACCCATCATCGTTAACCGTCCCGGTTAACCCACTGGTTCAGAGATGGAGAAAAAGAAAACCGATAACAAAAACCGAGAAAAAACAAAAAGAAAAAATAACAAAAAATACACGATCCGTGATCACTTAAGAAACCAATCTCTCACCGTTTATTAATTAACAATCAACGATCCATATCTATTCTAAACCTTTCTCACGGATCGTCATCTTAAACCGTCCGATCAAACCTTAAAACGAACGGTCACGATTCATTTTCTGACACAAACCATCTTCTTTATAAATCTATCAAATTTCTCTCTACTCATCAGAAATCAATCTCGAGGAAAAATGTCAGGAAGAGGAAAAGGAGGAAAAGGATTAGGCAAAGGAGGAGCAAAGAGACACAGAAAAGTTCTTCGTGACAACATTCAAGGAATCACAAAGCCAGCGATTCGTCGTCTCGCTAGAAGAGGAGGTGTGAAGAGAATCAGTGGATTGATCTATGAAGAAACGAGAGGTGTGTTGAAGATCTTTCTGGAGAATGTGATTAGAGATGCTGTTACTTATACTGAGCATGCGAGAAGGAAGACGGTGACTGCTATGGATGTTGTTTATGCTTTGAAGAGACAAGGAAGAACTCTTTATGGATTTGGTGGTTGAACAATTTCTGGTGTTTTGATGAATTAAGTCTTGCGATCAAGAAGTTCCAGAAATTGGGATGAATTTTAGGGTTGGGTTTTGTGTTGTAATTAGGGTTTGGTTAATTGCAGTATTGTAATCGATTTTAATTTTGGTTAATGATAGTACCCATTTGCTCTAATTACTCTAAATCTTTTTAAATTCATGATGATTATGGTAAAGGATTATGAATTGGTTTGATGAAATCTCTTATTTGTTTCATAAAATCGAATATAGTTATAAGAAATTGGTTGAATTGGGGTTTAAGTTTGGACTAAATGTGAACATTTTAAAGTTTGGACTAAATGTGAACATTTTAAAGTTTGGAGATTAATATATAAGATTCATAAACTTATAGGCTTATAATATATTTATGAACTTAAACTTAAAAATGAAATTGTAAAGATTGTGTTGTTAAATATTGTTTTGCATTTAATGTTTGTTTTTTTTTTTCGTCTAAGTGATAGATTATATTTCATGATAAAAGATACAACAACGGCGATTCAAGAAATGATCCCGCAAGCTAAGACTTGAACAATAGTGAGAACTAAGCCGATGGATGAAGGGATATCCTGCATTTCATGTTTGGTAAAAATTGTTTTTTTTTTTGGAGATTGAAAATCAAATGTGGACTAAATGTGAGCATTTAAAGTTTGGGGCTTAATATGTAAGATTCATAAACTTACTAAATCGTGCATATACTTGTTTATGATATGGACCAAAAACATAAAATGGTACAAGATTATTTGACTAGTGCTCAAAAATACGAGTCTAGAATTTATAAACTTTATATCTCAATGGACTTAAACTTGAAAATGAAATTGTAAAAATTGTGTTGTTAATCATTTTTGTAGTTCGCTAATGTAAGATTTTTCTTTGCAAATTATTCACAGTTTTGTGTCATTTGTGCAACTTGTATACTCAAATAGATAAATACTAATAAATCTAATCCCACGTCATCGATCCAACCAATATTTGTAGCGATACATACATTCATCACCGTCAGATCAAAAAATCAGCGGTTAATATAAACAACAAAACGGTTTGTAAAAAGAAAAAAGAAAGGGCCCTACCGGATTCGAACCGGTGACCTATTGATCTGCAGTCAATTGCTCTACCACTGAGCTAAGGACCCTTATTGTTAAACCATCAAAATAAAACTACTATAATGCATACATATTACGAACATGTTATCAACATTGTTGTTCTTCGATTTCTTCTACAACACCTTCAATACCAAGACATGATCGTAATAAAGAAACAGAAGCAATGACCATAACACCTGCGAATATCGTCGGTATAAAAACATCTAAAGATGAGTTCTTCACCATTCCTGACGGCAAGATCAAGATGTCTCCCGGTAAATCCATCGGAATCCTAACGAACCCATCGGAAGATGATTTTATTTTCGACACAAACGCCATTTCTGGAGCAAATGAAGCCAAAGCCACTGTGATCATCAGGAGTATTGTCCATGTTGCTGTTTGAACAAGAACTTGCCAACGTGTTGAGATTTTTTCAAGAATTGGTTCCATTGAAAGAATCGAATTATAGAAGTGTTTTAGTTTTGTGTGTGTGAAGTTAAAAAGATTTTGAGTGAGTTTTTGGGATTATACAATGTGACGAGAAGAAGAGTGGGAGAGAGGGCTCTTACACGTTTTCACGAACTCTTTAAATTTACGGATTTGCCCTTTTTTATTAATCTAAATTATTACAAATTTAATTAAAATTACAGTGACCGAGTTTTAATGATTAAACACTAACTAGAGACGAGTTTTAATGATTAAACACTAACTAGAGAAAAAATGGGTTAAAAAAACTTTTACCTTTTCCAAAAACATGTTAAAAATCTTTAACTTTTTTATGAGTTTTAAACCCCACCTTTTAAAAAATGGTAAAATAACACTCACTTAATATCAATAAAATCAGTTTAAAATCAAACAAACCATTATGCTAAAGTTTAAATAAATAAATATAATTTGGTTTAAGATTCTTTTTTAGTAAACTCTATTTTTCAATTTTCTCCGAATTGAAGGTTTTTAGTTTTCAAGTACTTTTTTATATATAAAATTGTTATTTCAAATCTAGTTGAGATACAGTAAAACGATTTCATTACCATTAGAATTTTAGTTATATAAACAATTTAAATTTACTAACTCAACAATCGGTTTCATATTTATTGTTATCCAAAATATATCCAAAATTTATTTCGGGTGGAGTTTAGGTTTCATTCAATTTTGGATAAAAGTAAGTATTTTATGTTATATATGATTTTTTATTAATTTTATATAATAATTGAAAATAACAATTAATCAAGATTAATTCGGTTGGATTATATAAATTTATCAACGTGAAACTAAACTAATTTTGAAATAGTAAGAGCGATATAGAAGCTTTTATACCAAGCTGAATATGATTTTGTTAATTAATTTTATTTGGTCGGATCACACTAATTTAGAAAAAAATATGTTAATAATTTTGACCCATTTTAAATTCAAAACTTGAAAAGTTAGAACAAATTTGAACAAAAAATGAACCGAATGGGCTAATCTATACATTTTTATAGTTTTTTTTTTGGTATGAATACATTTTTATAGTTTACATAACTAGTTTTAATGACAACAAAACTGATTTATTTTTATTTCGTAAAAAAACTCAATTTTGGAATTGAAATTTGTAAACTAGAATTTGAAAAAATAAATTACAAATTAAGTTGTTTTATCTATTTGTTTTTGTTTTAATATAATAGTTTATCTGGAATTTATTTGGTTTATTAATAATATTAGTGGTTATTTTACCATTTTTTTAAATGTTAGGGTTTAAAAACCCACAAAAAAGTTAGGATTTTTTTTTACATGTTTTTGAAATTCACCGAAATAGGTGAAGTGAAGGTTTTTTACCAATTTTTCCGAGAAATGTCCACGCTGAAGTAATCTAGTTTCTAATGATAGAAATTATATGATAGGACCTAAAAGGTTGAGAATGAGTCATGAGATTTTAAAGTTTGTGGCTTTGACTAAATCAAGTGTATGTGGTAGTAATAAATAGGTTAGTCAGTTGGTGATAGACTATAACACCACTTACTTTCTTTCTTTCTTTTTTCACTGAAAAGATTATATATATTAAAACGGTAACATAGGTACCAACACTAAACCTTTACAACAAACACAGATTAGTGAAACAGAGTGATAAAAAGGAAATATATCACCCACCAAAAAATCAAGACAAATAAAAGACCAGAAACAGAGACATTCAAGGAACAAACAAAGCCCTTACTTTTCTTTAGGAAACCTTTTTTTTATATAAAAAGTCTAAATAAATCAATCAACTTAACACATCATAACTCTTTATATTTTTTTTCAATGTTTTTGAGTTAAGTTTTAGTTTATCATAAATCAGCCATAACTCAACTAAACTCAAAACTTAAATTTATTTTAAAATTTAAAAGTGGTTCATAATTAATAACATTGTTAAGTTAACCATGTGTTACATTTATAATTCCAGTTAAATCAATCCTAACACATGTCATCATTCACACCTTCTAACAATCATAATACTTACTTCAAGTAATATAACACTACTTAACTTTTGTTTCACAAGTGAGATTAATCATGATTAGTCTTAGAAGTGGACTAAGATGAATTTAATTTTTTAAAACATAGACTAATTAACAAGTCCGGAGCAATTATTAGAATTTAATGAATGGAAATATTCCACGGAAAATTCGTTGAATAATCTTACATACAGTCCATGAGCTGGTTAACATAAAAAAATATCCAAACTGATAATTTTTCGTATTGCTATGTTATTTTAGTGTAATTGGTAATTAATCATTCTTTTTAATTTAATTGCTCAAATTTGCCTGTTTAGGTTCTATTATATGTAACTTAAAATTTTCTTATGTTTTGCTTATTTTATAGCTTTTTTGTTTATTTTTGCACGAATATCTTTGTTTTCTTCAAATATTACATTAGTTATAATTTACTTATAGAGTTGTAATAATATATTATTATTGAATCTATTATTAATTGATAAAATTATTAATTAATTTGGTTCATAACTAATAACATTGTTGAGTTAACTATAAGTTGCATCTATCATTCAAATTAAATCAATCTTAACATATGTCACCATTCACACCTTCTAAGACCATCTCCAATAGTAAGAACCCCTCATGCGTTTTTACCATTTGTTTTAATATAAAATATATTAATATTTAGGATAAGAGTTTGTGTATGAGATTTTAAAATTTTCATATTCATATGGAAGAAATCAAAGTGGAGTCCTTTTAAGAATTTTTTTAAAAAATTATAATATATTAAAATTAAAATTATTAACATTTTAAAATTTATAAAACATATAAATAATTCCAATTCATAAAATTATTAACATCTAACATGCATTTATCACAAAACAGAAAATAAACATTCAATACAAGAGTCAACTCTTACCTAATCTATCAAAATAAATTCACCAAGCAAAGAGATAAAAGTAAGTGTATCAAGAGGGTACAAGCCACACATGGAGACATATAGTGTTGGATGTCAAGTGAAGATGAAAATGCCATGCTATTCAAAAATAAGGTTCTTGTTGTTGAGGAATATGAAAGTTGTCAGATATGTACATTTTAGGGCTGTAGCAATGCCAAGGGTGAATGGATCTACATTCTACGCCGGACTTATGCAGACGATGGCCATGATCTTTACATCGGAGTGGTATCTTGTTGAACTAGGTTACTTCCTTCCCCTATAGTCTGGGAAGCCTTGCTCACAACTTCTCCCTCTCAAATAACCTGGGAAAGGGAGGTTTCGGCATTGTATTCAAGGTATAAAATGATGCAGGACTCTAAAAATACTTCACAAAGAAATGCCAAAATCGAGTGCATAAACAAGGTGACTAGGATTTGAATCACAAGCATGAAAGTCAGAGTAAAAAATAAAAACAGAATCAAGAAACCAAAAAACACATTCAAGCTAAAAACTAAATGAGTCACACAACTAACCATTTTATCTACATCGTAAGT